TGGCCAATGGACACTTTTCACAGACTGTGATGACACATTTCCATAGTTGTAAATCTAGTAATGTTAGATTATTCTTTGGGTTATATTAACTTGGCATTACATTTCAGAAGGTTGGTTGCAATAAAATGGCTAAAGGAGTGATTTGATATCTCTCTTTTGACCACCTTAATCAATCCCTCAATATTTTTATGCATGCCAAAGAAAATTAGAGATAGATAGCCCTACTTTTGCTTCATTTAAAAAAAACAGCTTAAAAGATGGCTGATTAACAATGAAAAATGTAATCATTTGATATGAAGGTAGAATTTGATAGGTAGATTTATTTATACATTTATAATAAGCACTTTGGGATGTCTACACAATACACATAGGCATTTTTGTATTACAATAAATTCTCTATAAGGTATAGGAACTTTTATGATTATTTTTTTTTAACTCCATGTGTTTTGTTGATATGTATATTGTTTGTTTTTTGGTTTGTATTTGTCTATGTTTGGGTCTACGAATGGAAATTAGCATTGTGCTAAATCCGGCGTATTTACGTTCAACTTTGATACATTCATGAATATGCATTTTCCCATATAAATACATAAAATAAATATTTTTTTCCCTCTTTTGGAGAAGTCATAAACGCTATTATGATTTTTTTTTTTGGAGCAAATGGGAATGCAAAAAAAAAACATTAATAATAAATATAAATAATATAATATATATATATATATGAAGACTTCAGATGCAAAAGCTTCTAAGTGCAATCTGATTTTTTTTTTTAAATGTGCATTTTTATCAAGCTCCTAAATTTAAATTCAGTAATTTCACTTTAATGACAAATAAAAGGTAATTGTCATTGCCATTAAAGTGAAATAACTAGATATAAACATACAAGCTTCATAAAAAATATCATTCTAGAAGAAAATATCAGATGGCACTTTCACTTTTTTTTTTTATCAGAGGGCATATATATGCAATTTTGCCATGCAAATGCCATGCAATTTTAGGTTTGTAACTATATATATATTTCACAAAAAAAACAACAACTGGGAATTCAAATCATGGCAAAATCATTGGAGATGTTGAATTAGGATTAAACAATGTCCCCAATCACTAAGCTATTATTGCTCAAAATGTAAGGTTCACAAGATCACATTTTAATTTAAAATACATATTTGGCTTATTTGGCCTCTAAATTCCCCTTGAATTACTAAATTAATACATATTTTAATATTTAATACAAAACAGTCAGTAGAGATAGAGGTGAAATTGGGGTGATGGATTCCTGAATTTTTTTTTTTAATGTGAAAACACAATATTCCTGCATGCGATTTAAAGTGTTTTAAGGGATTTTCCTATCACTGATGCAACTCAAGCTTGAAGTTCAATTCTAAGCAAACATTGATGTGATAAACTGCACTTAATTTGATTAATGTAATAATAGTGTTAATACATCAACAGTTTTAAAATGTTATCTCATCTAAAGTGTCTAAAACGACCAAGTACACGGACAATCTCCCCAGAGCAACCAAGAGTTAAGTGAAGTGCTCTAGGGCACAATAACAATAGAGGATCCCAGACAGTCTGAATATATGGCGCCTTCTGATTAAATGTGAACTTATGACCTTCAGAAACTGAAAATTTCACCGGCCTGGATCTATAACTAATAAACTAGCACCAAAATTTCAAGAAAAAAACAACAACATCGATAATGATATAATAGTCATTTTTATGGGAGGATATAACAGTTCGTCTAGTTTCGGTAGATTACAGTAAAGTCATTTACAAAAATTAACAGTGCTCTCACAGTAATAATCTCAGCAATTGCCTAAATCTAAAGTACTCCCAAGCTACCGCTTGTACCCGACTGTGTGATATTACAAACAAAAGTGTAAAATGAATGCACATTATGAGATGGATGCAAGTACACACACATTCACACACTCTCATGCAAACAGAGCCAGATTTGTTGCATATTACAACACCCCATGGGGAATATCACACATGCGATCTCACGCTATCGCTTGCCTCGATTATCAATGCCGCCACTGATTTTCAACACTCTCTCTTCATTTCTCCATTGCCGTGCAGAAAACTTTCATGTATGATCAATGCAGTGGTCCAGCATGAGCGGTAGACCGTAATTTACGTTCTAGGACACGATAGAGCTGAGCTCAGCAAAAGCTCGTGATTTAGGGTTGCTTTGGTGATGGTTCCACTACAGCGACAAAGCATCTGAGATTAAATATGTTGAAGAGCGCAGCCCATATGTTGCAGTCAACAGGATCCAGAGACACATTTTCTGTTCTGATAATCACAAAAGACCATGACCAATTGCAATTAGTTTTCTTAGAGGCAACTGATCAGAGGCATGCATGCATTCGCACACTCTCTTACCATGCAGATCTGAGCAGTCCTGTTTATCTAAGGTCAGGGATCAGTTCTGCAATGGTTCAATAGTGGAAGTGAAACCGACTCTAATGAGCACAAGACTAACACGCTGTCTCAGTCTGACAGAGTGTGTGCTCCCTTGACAGCGTTATTAATTCAGATTTGCACAACCTAGACTGTGACAAACCCATAATATGTGGTGGAGGAAACTCCTCTAAATGGCATATTACTGAAAAAGATGGCATTAAACAGCATGACACATCTCTACGCCAGAACTCTCGGTGTAAAACTCAAGACGTGAGTCATACTTCGCAATTGAAACGCAGAATGTTATTCATGTTGGCAAGTAAGATCAGCCACATAGTCCTGATTACATTGCTAATTTTACAGGCGAACATCACTGATGTTGCCCGGAGAGGGAAGATAGTTTCGACCAGAGGGAGAGCCTGTAAATGTGAGTGGCACGAAACAAACAAGAAAGCGACTGTGAAATTGCTGCAATTCACAAAGCACAGAGTGTAAAGCCAGGCCGCAGGCCCGCCCAAGGGGTATATGATGATGATGTCCAAGTTTAACAGGCACTTTTTGGTGTATTTGTCTATATTGACAAATGAGAATATATTTCAACAGAAGTTACACTGACATTTTGCACTGACATCACAGAGGAGTCGTCAGGCTTACGTCATTCCACTGCGATGTGCAGATGAATAGGATCCTCGGGTATTTAACTGCGGATGCCAAGGGACTACGTCAACGCTGAAATGTTGGGCGCAGATGATTCACTGGCAAATAACAGTTATTTAGAATGGTGTATGTCAGCAATTATAAACCTTCCAACCTACCTAACTCGTGCAAGGGAGGGTGCAGCGCTCAAGGGTGTCAGAAATATGACGACTCTCTCTCCCTCACACTGTAATACGCAAGTAATGATGAGTAATGAAACGGTAATGTAGAGTAATGCGTGTAATGATGGAGTTTTATAAATGTAATTCCACCTTATGTTTACTCAAGAGGTTTTACTAAATTACTACAAACACATTAATATCTGAAATTACATTTGCTTTGTTTTGACAACGTTTTCTTTCACGAATGTTCAGTTGGCAGTGAAATTTCATAAAGTAAAAGAAATGAAAATGCATTTATTAAATAGGCAGGAGAATTGCACTACAAATGAACAATGAAAATCAGTCTACACTGACAGAACTGCCTCTGTATCGAGGAATAAAAGGAACATTGAGCAATAAAAGGGAAAACTCTAGAAAAACATGGGTTGATAGATAGATAGATAGATAGATAGATAGATAGATAGATAGATAGATAGATAGATAGATAGATAGATAGATAGATAGATAGATAGATAGATAGATAGATAGATAGATAGATTTTGTATTATCCTTTGATCACTTGGCTAAATGGCTATTTAGAGTAATTTATTTGCAATAAAGTCCAAGGCTCTCTATAAAACATTTATAAAACAGACTAAACGAGAAAAAGAGCACAGTTTGTGCAAATATATAAACCCCATTAACAACTTTAAAGAGTTGACAGCAGGAAATGGGTATAAGAGGTTTTAAAGAATTAGTCAAGAGCCCCCTGGTGCCACAGTTTACGAAATTCCCACCTTTAACCACAAAGTACAGAGAGGTACTGCTCTGAGACCACAATTAAACCATGTCAGGGTGCACGTTTTATTTGGCTAAGCTACGTGAATACTGACGTGATGTATTATGCTTATATAGCGAAGGGAAACTGTTTCCTTAACAGTTTATACCGTTTATTCACGGTTTAAACGACATAAACTGTGAAGGAAACACTTCTTTCCTTCAACTTACTCTTAAACGCATAGTGTGACATTTTGTTATTTTAGTAAACAACAGTTCCCGCGGTGACTATTTAAATTGCAACGGTCCAGAAGAGGATCTGAAGGTGACAGTAAGTTTCTCATGCTTGTAAACTAAGTTACTTATTTTCTGCTAAATGTTCATTGTCACGTAGCCTAGGCATTAGCAGTGCAAGTATACGACTCGGAATTGATTTGGAACGTTCTCTTTTAGAACAGTCAAACCGTCGGAACGGGCCAAATTCTAAATCGAATTTTCGATTCAAATGTGTTCTCTCCTAGTGTAAATCTGTTAAGAGTTTAAATGAGAAACATTTAAGTTGTAGTTAAGAGTTTTATTTATTTATTTCACCTCAGCGAAAGTAGCAATCCTAGACAATCGTGTTCGTAAGGTGAAATGAACCTTTTGCGTTGGTTTTATTCACATATGAAACAAATATTCTTCAAACGAGAAATCCATTAGAATCACTGTAAATCATTTCGCAAGCCACAGGTTCCCTTGCAACGGAGAAGTAGCCATATCTGAGCGCAAACAAACTTAAGCAGCTTTAAAAGCTGAACTAAGGCTGTAAAAGTATACTGTGATTGATTGGCAAAATAAGGGTGAAGGTCTGACACACACACACACACACACACACACACACACACACAAAACACAACTGGCGCCATAAATTGTTTCTATTTAGCGTTTTGCCTTATGCGTGGACAACCCGCGCGCAGTTCCCAGCAATAGCATTCTGTGGGATTTGACGGACACATGTCACTTCATCAATATTACCTTCGTCGAGAAGCCGTTCGAGGTGGTTGAATATCCCGCAGAAGTTGGGCAGACTGCTCATCAGTTTCTTATCGTTCATGAGCTGCATCAGATAATCAGGGGTCGGCTTCGGCTTTTCTTTCGTTTCCATTTCCCCCACCATATTCCACAGAAATCACCACCGACGCCCCAAAAATAGACAGGAAAAAGTCCCAAAATAAATAAAGGCTGGGATATAAATAATAAATAGAGTACAAAAACGCAAGTGAGGGAGGCAAGTGCCTGCGAGTCTTCCGCGGCAAAGGATGCTGTCTCTGTCTTTACGCACAATCCGCTGCTGCAATACTGCAATTCTGGGATGACAGTTGTTTTAGGGCAGCCGATGAAATGATATTAAATGAACAAGATGAAATATATACGGGTGGAGAGTGAAGCCAGGTCTCCTTTCAAAAACAATTCCCAATAAATCCCACAAGTTACTCGCAAAGGCGACGTACTCCCGCGTGCCCAGTGTCCCTCTTAAGATTTATTTAAGCGAGAGATTTGTCCTTAACTTCCTCTTGAGGCGGTGAAAATGCACCCTTTCCCCGAGTTCCCCCAAAGCTTCCTGTGTCTTGTCTGTCTGTGTATGTGTGCAGCACTAGAAACGTCTGTCCCTCCTGTCTCTCACGCGCAATAAAGGCGCTTTCTCAATGAGATTGGCATTCGGTCCTCCGTTACCGACCAGCTCTTCTTGCGCTCGCGAGTCCGTCACATGATCACACTGAGTCTCAGCAGCAGAAATCAGACTGTGGGAGGAGAGAGAGAGAGAGCGAGAGAGAGGGAGAGAGAGAAAGAGAGAGAGAGCAAGAGCGAGAGCGAGAGAGAGACTGAATACATTTGAAAAACAATTTGCCCATTTTAAACGCAGACTCGACTCTGAAACATACGTGATGCGTGTCTTCAAATGAACTATTAGGCCTAGACAATTTTTTTCCAATGCGTGCAAATTGCAAGTGAACATGAATATACATTCCCCAAAATCCTTGTTCTTCATTAACATCCAGCACTATTTCTGATATGTTTAAGCATGCCCAACACAATCATGAGGAATAAATACATTTTTATTTTATTTAAATCATCATTTTACTTCCCATCATGTCATTCCGAGAACAAAACATTTTATGAGCTGGTCCTCATAAACTTGGCCATATTCAAAATCTTCGTTTGTTTGAAAAACAGACTAAAAGTACAGTTTTATTACACCTCAATTGCACCTTTTGCTGGTCGGACAGCATAAGAAATAAAATTATGCTAAATTGGAGTGTTATGAAGGTGAGTGAACAATAAAAAGGTTACATTTCACCAAAGCAACATTTTTTAGCTATCACTGTAATATACAGTATATATATACACTGTAAAAAACCTTTTCATGATTAGTTATCACAACATTTTTTCTTTTGTCAAATCAACTTAAATAGTTTATTTAGTTCAGATAACAAATAATTTTGAGTTTCTGATGATTAAATCATTCTCCTTCATTGTATTAACTCACTTTTTCCATTTCAATGAACTTAAAGTTTTAAGGCAACCAGGCAACTTACTTTTTTAAGTTAAACCAACAATATTTTTTATAGTATATATATATATATATATATATATATATATGAACACACATATATGATATATGAACACACATATATGAACACACACACACACACACACACACACACATGATTTGCAATCACAACATTTTTTCTTTTGTTAAATCAACTTAATTAATGTGGTTCAGATAACTTAATATTTTGAGTTTATCCTATCTCCTTCATTGTATTAACTCATTTTTTTCAATTAAATAAACTTAAAAATTTTAAGGCAACCAGGTTACTTCATTTTTTAAGTTAAAACAACCATATTTTTTACAGTGTACATAGTGAAATCTAACAGTTGTTTTAACTAACACGTTTTTGTTACATTTACTTAATGTCTTAACTGTAAATCAAGCCATCTGTACTATTTACATACCTTGCATTGTTTACTCCCAAGTTAAGCTTGATTTTTTTGGTTTGAGTGCCATTTTGTCAAGTTTTTGAGGCGGGGCAAATCTAAATAGACTTAACATTTTTAGTTGCATTCACCGATTCCCCATAGTCATCTTGAATGTTGAATGTCAATACAACAGAAAGATTTGAGAGAACATCCCATAAAGCTGACTTCATAAACTGATGTTGATATTTCTAAAAAGTTTTTGTTTGAACTCGACATTATGGATCAGTGTTCCCTTTGGTTGGGCACTTGCATCTTAATTTACATTTTTGTAATTCTCTTCCTAACGATACAGCGATACAACAATTAATCACAGTTATTTTGGTTTCAAAGGAAGGGAAGTAATAAATGGGTTGTCTTTGAGAGGTGACCTAACTTCTAACTAAATCATTAACTAGTCTATTTTGCTGGTGATATAAGGATCTTTTAAAATGTTATGCTAACACATTTCATAAACACCTTGTGGAACTTTTAATTGGGTTGATATAATTCCTCTATATTTGTGACATCTTGCAATTGACCATGCCTGAGTACTACAACATATAGCATGCATGCACACAACTATGGTAACAATTCAATTTAATGTATTAGTTGTAACAATAACAATTTGATTTGCTTTTTTAATTGTGCTGCTAGTACTGACACAAGGCTGTCAAATAAAAAAAAAACATAAAAAAGTAAAACAAAACAATTTATTCATGCCCCAATGTGAGTCAATAATTCTGAGTAGCTATACTAAGTCAATAGTAAATCTAAAGTAAATTATCTACAGTTTGTACTGGCATGTAAGTGAACTACACTAACTAAGCACTTGTACAACACACTATTCCTATTTCACTTTACTTAGTTTTTTTCCTTAAGACAATCAGGTTTGCATGCTTTTTTAAGTAAGTCTAACAAATTAGTTTTTACAACATTAACACTTAACATTACTGTATTATTTGCAGAGAACAAAAGTGCTATCCTCTTAAGGCCTTTGTGAGCCAGAGTGCGTCGCATCGGTCTAATATTAAAAGACTCATTTGTCTTCTTTTGGCTGGCTGGAATAGTAAAGAAGAAGTGCGATTGACTAAACGCCGGTGCACATCAGAACATACCACAATGGTAAAGAAAACAAGGCATTTATCTCAATAGGACGACTTCCTCTGCAAAAAAAAAAAGAAAAATCATTACACAATGCGGATGAAGGCTAATTCTTCGTCAATATGTGCCAATACTCAATTAAAGCTAATGCTATGGGAACAGCTCCTCCCTCTGGATTAGGCCGCTTTTTTAATTTACATAATTAACATTCTTTTTGTCCTTATTGGAGCAGCATAAGCAGAACGCTTACTTATTTCCATTCTTAGCATTCGTTCTTTGCTTTAATGCAATGCGTTAGGTTTTGAAAAAAACTAGCAAACTAGCATGGAAATAGCAAAGCTATCAAACATTTCAGAGAGAAGTGAAGTTATTTTCCCACACAGCAAGCATAATTTATGAGTGCTTAAATCCCTTCATTACTATGTTTATATAAATACTCTAATTGGCCTAATGGTTTTGTCACTTCTTTTGTTATGCAAAGCCGTTCTCATGCATGGTGCTGTTTGGCTTTTAGACGCAGCCATGAAAGCTATTGTTCCAGTCACCGTTTGACGTTACATTGGTCCATCGCTTCTATTCACGTGAACGAAAAAAACAAAACACAAGCAGCACGTATAAGGAATAGCCGGAAAACAAAACAACGGACAACGCACCAGAGGGCTGAAGAGATGAGGGGAGAGAGGGCTGGCGGCCCAGTATCTGACAGCATGGAAACAAACGACCCACCAGAACAGGAAGGGATTGTCCAGGTCCTGCCCAGCACCTTTTCATCCTTTTGTGATGCCCGGGGCTTTCACATGCAGATCGCCTTGGACGCAGAGGCCTGTGTTAGGGCGCCTTGCCCTCCTGACTACAGAGAGAAGGGGGTAAATTTACCCCTCACCCCTTCTTCAGTGAGAACTGCCCCCCCACCCCGCGGCTCTTCGCTCGCTCTCCAAATGACGGAAGCCTTGTTTGAGAGCAGAGGAATTACATTAATGAATGCATTCCTTCACACATGCACCCTGAAACCAGGCAAGGAGAGCAAGCTTGTCTCTGTTTGGTCGAACCAGGGAACAAGTGCGCTGTCGCTCTCAAACTCTCGCCTTTCATCTCGCTCCGGCTCCCTCTTTCCAGCTCGATCACTTTTTCACTTGTTAGCCCTCCTTCAGATCCCCCTCATAAACCCCCTTCTCTGTAAGTGCATGTGACTAGAATGTGGGTTTGGGCCGAATATAAAAACAGCCTGTAAACTGATGAAACCAACGAAAAGATGAGCCTTCACAACACTAATTCAATAACACATTTGCATGCTTTTGAACAAATATCTGAAGGGTAATTAGCCAAATGATCTCATTAGTATTCGTTAGTAAAGTTTGGTTGTAGAACACTTACTTTTTTCCTTTTTTACATTTGGATAGACACTACTCACAATATTAACATATGGACACTTTAAAAAAAAATAATGATTTAGTCTGATTTTCCTCATGGGACCAAAAGAATCCTACAAGGTAAAAAAAATACTGTTATTAGTATTTTTTTAGGGACATTTGGTCCTCCCAACTTAAGCCAAGTCCATATTACAGGATTTTAAGCCCGATTGAAGCCCGATTTGCGAATCGTTGAGCTCGCCGCTTATGCCTTGTTCACACTACATGATTTTAAAACGTCGGGCTGAACTGTGCGGTTCACACTACATGACTTGCTCTCAGTGAAATCTGGAGTGTTCAAGTTGTTAACTGTTCACACCACACAACACAACGTGATTGATCCACAACAGGAGGTAACTCACTACACGAGTTGATAACGCACTGCATAGAGATACAACCACGATCGGATGATAAGAGCAAATCATTTGTGACTCAATAAGAGCTGTTTCAGTACTATGTTACGGTCTAAATCCTGAAAATAATCAAATAAATAACAAGTTGACAACAACTCTGTCACCCAACGATTCTATCTTGTCAACAAACCACGTTTTGTCACGAAAAAAACACGCAATAAATAAATAAATATTGCGCCAATACCCAGCGAAGAAGAGAACACAACACGTGAATATGGACGTCAGACAGAAACTAGTGCTGCACACTGTTTGCTCGACGATCTGCTCTGAGGGAAAAAATGCAAAAAAAGAGAGAAAAACTAAGATTTACCTGGTGTCCTCAACCCACGTTGCTATAATTGGCTGTACTCATGACATCACTGAGTTTGAGTCGCGCGACTGCTCTGGATATCTACTGTAGCAGGCTAGATATTTTTCTGGGCTCGGCGACGCGTCTGCGCGCGTTTTCGCTGCGTTGTTGGCTCTTCCATAATAGGGTGATTCTTCAATTGGGGGCTATTTTGCCATCTTAGATTTTGATTAATGAAATTTGGTTAAATTTTGTTAGAATTATGTCAAGACAATGTTTACATGTTTTGATGTAAAGATATAATAATGGCCGCAACTGAGCTTAAATATTATTTGAGTATTTTATATCTATTTGTCAACTGGCACTTCAAAATGTCATTCCCATCACAACATCAAAAAGTCTTATAACGCACAGAATGTTTCAAGGAGATCATTTAAACTCATTTATCTTGCAAATAGTTTTAACCTTTAACAATGCGTATAAAAAACAAAATGTTTCCACTCAGCGAATTACGGATATTTTCTTGT